GGCAGACGGGGCTGAGTCCGCTGCTTACTCAGAAGTCTTGTCTTGGCAGTTCGTGAGGAGATGGGGTCTGTTAGATTCGCGGTAGGTTCTCACGTGTGTGTGAGTCCTAGGTCTCGGGGCTCAGGATGTCTGGCGTGCCCTTTGGGGGGCCCGGGCGAGAGCTGCAGCGGGTAACCTGCGCTTGTGGCGCTGTGTCCTCCAGGGGCGTCGCCGGCTGCTGTTTCATCCCCTTCTGCATAGACGCCCTGCAGGACGTGGACCACAGCTGCCCTAACTGCAAAGCTCTCCTGGGCACCTACAAGCGTTTGTAGGGCTCCCAGCCCTGCAGGAAGCCCGCGCACCTCCCGGTGGACCGTCACCTGGACAGTCCCGTCTCTCCAGGGCCCACCTCTTCGTCTGCTTTTGGAGGAAGGTACCGCGAAAGGAACAGGCCTCCAAACCCCGGAACGTGCTGCACGGGACGCGCGGAGACAGTCCCCTCACGCCCGCCGGCTGCCCATGACCCAAGTCAGCCACTAACTGTGACAGTTCCCACCTGCATCTCGGGGTGATTTGCCCTTGACCGGCCTCTCTTCTTGCCTCAGTGGACCTTCCTGGCGGTGGCCTCCAACCGAGAAGCCACAGCTTGCCTCAGGCGAGGTGGTCCTGTCTGAATCCCACCACCGCTCCAGTGCCCCCACGACACAGTGTTGCCTTCTTGGCTAAGGGTTTTTGCCTCTCGGATACTCATTGCTGGCTTCTCCTTGGCACACACATTCACTTTAATGTCTTAGTTTGTTTTTAAAGATGGGGCTCTCCATGCCCAGCAGACGCAGTATGGTACAGTCCTTCATGCACAAGAAATTGAGGGGCGGGATCCACTCACTGATCCCCGCACGCCCCCCTTACTGCCCCTGTATACAGAGGACTTTTTTCTCAGAGAGGAATTGTTTGTATTAGTTTTTATGACTTTGTTTGGTCTTAAATACTTTGAACATCATTTTGAAAGGAGGGTTTTTTAATAGTTACATCATTTTGTGCCTTTTTCCATCTCAGTTGCAATCCCTGTGGGCTTCTCATCACCAGATCGCCCATGGGCCGTCATCATCACTGCACTGCCTCCCCCGACTGTTTTGACCCCACCCCCCACTCCCGATAAGATGTCTCTGGTATATACTTGCTCATTATTATTATTATTTTCTCCCCTGGTCCTTTTATACTCCTGCTATGAGTGAAACCACCCGGTATTTTTCCTTTTCTTTCTGGCTTACTTCACTAAGCACGATCTTCTCCAGCTCCATGTGTTTTTTTCGTCGCTGAGTAATATTCCATTGTGTGTATGGACCACATCTTTCTAATCCAGTCATCTACTTTTGGGCATTTGGGTTGTTTCCATGTTTTTCCAATTGTAAATAAAGCAGCAATAAACATGGGGGTGCAGGTGTCTTTTTGAATCAGTGTTTTTGTGTCTTTTGGGTAGATACCTAGGAGTGGGATGGCTGGGTCATAGGGAAGCTCCATTTTTAGCAGTTTGAGGAACCTCTGAAAAGAAGGATTTTTATAGAACCATTTTTTATAACTATAGAACTGGTTCCATTTTCACTTTGTCTATGTACTTTCTCCCCAACTCCCTGCCCCACAAAAGAAAAAGGAAGAGATAGTCCCATTCACTACCCTTACTTGGGTTGAATGTGGCTCTTAGAGACCAGGTAGTGAAACTCTGGGCTCCCTGGTGGTGTGTTTCGGAAGAATCTTTGAGCATGTTGGTACCATGGTGCTGAGAAGCTTGAGGTCCTGAACTGTTTCAAAGGAATCTGAAGTCTGGTTTGATTTTTCACAAATGCCATTTGTTGTAGAACATCAGAAGACATGATTTTTGGAAGTGACCAAACTCCTTCTCAGTTAGCTGCTGTGTCGTCTTTGAAGCCAAGAAGGAGTGGGTTTGAACCTTGGGGGTCTCCCTCTCAACAACAAACAGGCACAGGGGACGGGAATGCATGTTAATATTATGATTCTTCAAGCCTAGATCTTGAACAAAAATCTGCGTATTGGTTGAAAATGATAGTTGCAGGCCCTCCCTGGTGGCACAGCAGGTTAAAGCACAGCACTGCGGAGCTGGCCACAGCCTCTTCAGTGGGAGGTCGATCCCTGCCCCGGAGGTGACCCGCATGGTGCCGCAGACCTCTCTCTCCTGCCTCGCCTGCTGCTCCCCTCAGCAGTGTATTTCATCAGTCTGCCTGTTCTGCACCCCACTCTGTCTCTGGTGAATCCTTTCACCACCCCTGGCCTGTACCCCAGATCTGTATGAGTAAAATAAATATTAAAAAAGAAAGAAAGAAAAAATGATAGCGCTAACCTTTGGTTCAGTTTATTTATTTGATGTTTTAAAAGTCCCAGTAATTATTTTGCAATGACCATGGATACTACATTCTCCTTTGGTGTGATCTGCTTAAAAAAAAAAATAAAAGTTTTGGGTTCACCCAGTAAACTACTTATCAATTCCTCTGATGTGAGGAAAGGACTCGTGCTGTGTTCCTAGTTGTTTCTAGAAGAACCTTTGTTTTCTCCCTCACAGAAAACCTCCCGTGAAAGTCTTCAGCCTCCCTGATGCCCACCAGGCTAAAGTCCCCGCTGTTGAGCTGGGTGGGTGGCTGGGAAGTCCGAGTCCAGCGTTAGGTTGTTGGGACCCAACCCAAGAGGCGTCATCAGTGGCAGCCAGCCACAACCTTCAAGATTTAATAAAATGCACAGAAGCTGTCCTCATTCATCCCCTGAACAAAACCTGCTTTGTTAATTGGCCAGGGCGGTTGCGAGTTGCTAGAAGGGAGGGCATTGAACTCCCCGGGAATATGAATGCCACGCTCCCCCATCTGGTGCGGTGTTCCCTTTTAAAAGGTGAAAGAAAAAAATGCCATGTTGGTGCCATCTCTGGTGGCTTACATGTCATGTACACTAACCTGTGGGCTCGAAGAATTGCTTACCCTATGTTGGTTCCTCTGACAAAGTCCATGCCTCTAGCAGTTTCGCTCAGATGGTGGCTTAGAAAAAATGGTCTCAAGCTGTTATTAATTACATATGCAAAGTCTGAAAAAAAAAACCGGGAGGCCTATTTCAAGAGCCGTAAAATACATATTCTTGGAACTTAAAAATAACCTCAAATGCCTGGAGGAAGAAGCACTCACCCGATACTCGTTACGGTGAGGATGGGCTTGTGCACATATTTTTACGAATTAAAAGTCTCTTTTGTTCTGCTGTTTGTTAGGGTTTTGAGTTTAGTTTGTCACAAATACTGAATCACAGCCAGTGAATGAGAAAGCTTGCGATCACTTGGACCTTAAAGAAGAATCTCATCAACCCAAGCCCAGAGTGGCTACATGCCCGGTAGTCTGTCCATGCAGAGCAGCATTTTATGAACTTGGCTTCTCTCTGGGTGACAAAGTGTCAGTTATGGCTTCTCTTTACATGTGACCGGTCTTGGCCGGCCTCACACAGCATTACCCAGGAAAATGTTTTCTCTGGGACAACTGGCTTCCCAGTTGATACTGAGAACATGAGCACCAGATTACTTAAGAACGTGACTTCACACTCACATACACACACACACACATTCACACACACACACACACACACACACACACACAAACTGGCCTCAGTTTCCTCTCCTGTGATAGCCTCTCATGTCCAGGGTGTTAAAGTCCTACTGACCTGTTTGAGGATCTCTGTGAGGAGTCAATGCAGATGCTGGGATTTTACTTACGAAATTCTGATTTGCATTTTGGATCCTATTAAAAGTTCTCTTCAGCATTATGACTCAAGTGTTTACAATGAGGCGTCTGTTTTTCATAGGCACATGAGTGAACTGAAAGTTGATCCTGGGAGTCGATGAAAGGGAACCAGTTTTTTGTTTTAAAGAAACAAGATTCTGAGGCTCAAAGATTTTTAAAAAGTTAGCAACCATGTGTCCAGTTAAGTACATTTCACTGTTTTGTGATTATCCTGCAGTGTTAAAGAAAATGTTCACCTATTTAAGAGCTTTTCCCCCTTGTTTAAATAAGTTATTTATTATTTTTTTTTCTAATGCATAGAATGATTATTATTCTTTTTAATGCATACTGGGGTGTAGGCCAGAGGTGCAGGAAATGAGAGGATTCACCAGAGACAGAGTGGGGAGCAGAATGGGCGGATCTACTGAAATACACTGCTGAGGGGAGCAGCAGGGAGACAGGAGAGGTCTGCTGCGCCCTGTGAGTCACTCCCTGGCCGGGGATCAAACTCATGCTGCAGTGGCTGCTGATAGCTCGATGGTGCCCAGTCCTGTTTCAAACAGTCCAGAGGTCCTACACCCCCACACCTAAGGTGCCATGAATCAAGGGTCCAGGCTCCATCCCAGGGGCTCTCACATAGTAACCTCTGGGGGGAGCAGGCTGGCGCTTCAGCTGAACCCCACTACCTTTCCCCAGCCTCCTTTTCTTCTGCAAGTTCCTTTCACTTGCCCTGGGAAGCTTTCCCGGTGCCTGCTAAGGTCAATGCGAACATGAGTTGTTTTGGCAAGAGTCTTTTGTTTGTTTACAGCAATGCCAGCTGCATGCTGGGTAACAATATAGATGCTCCCCGTGTTGCCAAGGTAACCTGTGGAGCCGTTTTGAACAGGGCCCATCCCCTTGATGGCCACAACATCACCTTTTGGGTGGACTCTCAAGTCTAAGGCCAAAGGAGCACCCGTATTTTCTAAGGGGCCCAGAGAACACTCAGCCAGCCTTTCCGCTCTCGCTGTGTTGGTCATTGTGGCAACTTCCTGGAAGATGCTGGTTCTGTAAATAAGTCATTTTTAGTTTCAAGTTGATAGCAAGAGGCCTCTCTGCTGAGGGGTTATGACTCAGTGCTATAACCTGAGTCCCATCCCCTGCCAGGGAGTGACCTCAGGGCACAGCAGACCTCTCCAGTCTCACCCGCTGCTCCCCTCAGCAGCGTGTTTCAGTAAATCTGCCTGTTCTGCTCCCCACTCTTGTTAATGAATCCTCTTACCGCTCACACACACACACACACACCTCTGAACTACACCCCAACTCTACACATAAATAAAAAAACAGGGCCCTCCCTGGTGGCGCAGCAGGTTAAAGCACAGCACTGAGAAGCTAAAGCCACTTCCGCATGAGTTCGATCCCCGCCTGCCCCGAAGGTGACCACATGGCGTGGCAGACCTCTCCTGACCCGCCCGCTGCTCCCCTCAGCAGTGTACTTCATCAGTCGGCCTGTTCTGCTCCCCACTCTGTCTCTGGTGAATCCTCTCACCACCCCTGCCCCTCTGGCCTGTACCCCAGTTCTGTGCATAAATAACTGAATCTTTTAAAAATAAATAAATAAATAATAAAGTTTATAGCAAAACTGAGCAGAAAGTAGAGCTATCCTCACATACTCTCATATACTTCCCCACACATGTACAGCCCCCCCTTTTTACCAATGTCCCTCATCAAACTGGTACACGACTTATCACTATGTCAACATTATCCTCACCTGAGTTTGTAGCTCAGAGCAGGGTTTGCTCTTGATGTGCATTCTGGGAGCTTGCACACACGCGAAGACACGTCTCCGCCACGACAGAGCTGTTTACGGCCCCCAAAGTTCTGTCTGTGCTCTCCCTGGCCAGCCTTCCCTCGGCAACCACGGCCTCTTCTACGGCCTACTTAGTTATGCCTTTCCCAGGATGCAGTATGGCTGGGAGCCTTTTCAGATCGAATGCTTTCACTTGGCAATGCCCATTTAAGTTCTGCCCCGTCTTCTTGGAGCTTGTTAGCACGGACATAAGGGGTGTTTCATCCTCGCCCTAGCGTGTGCTGGCTTTACTGGCTGAGTACTGCTCCACTGAATGGTCATACCACAGCCTGCTTACTTATCCCTTCTGACATTTGACCTTTTGACCTTTGTGGCTCTAATGGATCGTGCTGCTACACCCTTATTTTGCAGGTTTTCCATGCGTGCAAGATTCAGTTCTCTTGCCTATAAAGTGGGAGTGGACTGCTGGTCACCTGTTGTCTCTTCAACTTGCTGAGGAACCACTGGGTGGCTCCTGGAAAGCTTCAGACTGCGAACAGCCTCTGTTTAGGGCTGCCCATCTGACTCTGCCCTGGCAGGAAGAACTGCCTGGAGCCTGGAGGCCACAGATCTAAATTCAGATGTGTACTGGGCCAGCCTGCCTGGATGGCTCAGCT